TGGTTCAACACTTCCAAAGAAGTCTGCTACACTGCAATAGAAAAAAAATTTGTCTCCCAGGAAAACCATATTAGTCATGAAACCAAAATCAGTATAAAATAAAAACTTGACTCCATTTGACCTCCATCGTGGGCTCCAAGCACCAACCTTCCACTCCCATCACCTCTCATAACTTAAAATAAAAATGTAAAAAAAAAATTATAAGCAATGTCCAAAATTCGGTCCCAATTCCGTTAGCGGTAAGAGGGAAAAACAAATTAACTACCAACAACTACAATTAAGTTAATGTACGAAGAGAAAAAAAAATTTGCTGAATGGTTGACCCAAACAATTCACAAAGACAACATACACAAAATGACAAATAGAAATCATTGAATAATCACAAAGAATCGTGTGCCACTAAATAATAAAAAATTAAGACGAGTAACACATAATAAATTCAAAAATTGCATATCTAACAACTGCGCTACTCACAATAACCACACATATGAGTATCGAACAAAATACTTTGATAAGAAATACGTACTAGTGAAAACATCTATATACAATACAAACGTGGCACCCAGAAACAGACACATCATAATCGTTTAACATCGAAATCCTGACACGACCAATGTGAAGTGCATGTCCCAGACCACCAAAAAAAAATTACTAACTTAACCCTCAACATACTCAAAGCATAAGAAATTGCAATGGTTCACTAAGAGCATTGATAACAATCTTTCGTAAAATTAATTAATTTAAAGTGAAAAATTAGAAATAGAAACGGTGGGTGTGCATAGGTGAAAAGTATATATATATAACCTCCGAGAATGCTTAATGGCCTAAGAAATTTTTTAAAAAATTCACTACAAGCATTGGTTACACTTGAAAGTTAAAAAAAATGTAATTAATTCAGATTTGCAAATTAAAAATCTATAAACTAACGAATAGCATAAACGGTAAAAAAAATTTATAACCTCTAAGAATGCTTAGTAGCCTAAGGAATTTAAAAAATTCACTACAAGCATTGGTTACAATTGAAATTAAGAGAAAAAAAATTACTGTAATTAAATTTAGAATTGCAAACCATGAGTGTGTATTTGATCGGGATGCACCCCCAATGTTTACAAAGGCAAAAAAAATATGCACATGCCATAAATTGCTTCTGATTGGTCCGGAACCAGCGCAGAGTTACCGCACAAAGTTCAATGGCATTTTTAAGTGCGGGAAAATCTAATGACACACCCCGATATTTATGGGTGTATTGCCCCTTCCAGGCGTGGGAAGGAATTCTCCTTCAGTGGTGGGGAAAGAAAACACATTCCACCAAATGAGTTCGCAATTTTGAAGTTCTATTGAATATTCCTGAATGAATCCGCCTCCCATCAGTATCAATGATACGAGGCTCCAAAGCTACTGGGCCCCAACATGTGTAACTACAGTATCTCTAACAGGGCTTTCTTTTCTAAAAAAAGGGTACCGAAGGAGTTTTTATACGGGGCCCACTGAGATCTAGCTACGTCAGTGTTTCCGACTCACCCTCGTACAAACCTTAGAAAGTGTATCGAAACACGAGCGAACGTGCGCCTTAGTCAGCATCAAAAGGAACAATGAAATGCACGTCGTAACATTTAAGTACATCAATTCCTAATTTCTGGTGATCTTAGAAAGTGCAGTCTGATAAGCAAGAGGTTAAGTATATCAGTAGCGTTAGAAACAACTGCTTGATTTATTTTCTGCTTCTTAATGATTTATTATAAGACTAAATTTTTTTCCATTACACAAGGGCATTAATACTCTTTTTAAATTGCCGAATTCTTCTCAAAGACCCATAAGGTATCCGACTACGTTCGGTACCGTGATTTTGCAAATGCGTATAAATGAATAATATTTATGAAATTTAGTGTCATTTAGATTAGAAAATGTATATAAAATTGTTTTAAGAATAGTATTAAAATAAAAAATTATTTAAGTACAATATTTTGACGAAAAATGAACATAGAATAACCAATTTTCAAAATATTCTCTTTTTTGTGAAAAATTCCTCTATTATAATAATATTTTGCCTGCATATAGCTGAGACCTCTGTACAGAGGCTCAACTTGAATTTTTGAAATATATAACTTAGAAGTGAGTTTATCCATGTTTAACGACATCAGAGGTGAGAAATTTTAAGAAAAAAAAAGGATAATTATTTCAAATGCTTGTAATTTTGAAAATAATGCGAATTTTTCAAAAATCGTAGTTGAGCCTCTGTACAGAGGTCTGCGCTATATACAGGCAAAATATTTTTATAATAGAAACATTTTTCACAAAAGGTGAACATTTTAAAAAAAGGTTATTCTAAGTTAATTTTTTGCCGAAATATTGTATTTAAATAAATTGTTTTTGATCAAAATGTCCCTAGAACAATTTTATACAATTTTTACTTTTACAGTTTTAATCTAAGTGACTCTAAACATCATAAAAACTATCCATTTATGCGCTTTTTTAAAATCACGGTTCTGAATGTAGTCGGAAACCTTAAAAGTATTAACATAATATTTTAATAAAATATAAAAATGTGCATTATAAAATAAAAATGCATTAACTTTAAATTTCTTTTACCATATATTAAATAATTGCAATTTGATGTTTTAACTATCAATTTAGGAGCAATATTTGTATAATTGTAAGTTTCTATTATCAACATAAAGGAACATAGCACCAACGCAGGATAATTTGACCACTCAGAAAACAAGATCACTCTAAAAGCTTTATCTTGTGGATTAAAATACAGCATTATATTTTAGCACTTCTAATAATTTATTCCATTGTTTTTCAGAGTCAAAAGAATTCGAAATTTGAGAGTGGTGGATGCATCAGTTATGCCAATTATTTCGAGTGGTAACACCAACGGACCAACCATAATGGTGGCTGAAAAGGCTGCAGATATTATCAAAGAGACAATACGCTGTGAAAGTGATAATGATATGTACTCCATTCTTCTGGAAGAATCCTGATATGAATGAATCACACATTTTAAACTTTGAATAAAAAAATAATAAGAGAAGGCGTTTTGTATTTCAAAAGGCAACTGTTCTAAAGATGCTTAAAACAAGTAAAATAGTTAATGATAGCTGAGAAAAATGGAAGAAATATCTTTCAGTTCATTACATTTTGAAGAAATAAAGTTTAAAAAAGAGAAAAGTAAAGAATGCATGCTTACTTTATAAATATCACTTTATTAAAGAATCACGAATTTAATAATTCTTCAACATTTTTCAGAAATATAAATCATAAGTATTCTCTTTGTGTATGTTGCGTCTGTTTAATAAAACACATTTTTGTATCCCCGTAACGCACACATGTTTTGAAAAAACACCGAAAAAAAACAATTTTTTAATTAAGAAAACAGATTTCAAAACTTTTTTTGCCACAATTGTTTTAAAAAATACAAAATTAATCAATTGTTCTTTTTTAATTTTGGATTTTGCACCTCATTGCAGATAAGAGCAGAATATAGCAATCTTTTGTACGTACATCGACTTTTATTATTTTTCTTTTCGAATACCTGTTTTTAAAAAAATACGTATTTTTGTCAGTAAATATATTTATTAAAATTTTTCTAACTAAAATAATAACATTGATATTTATTTGAAAAAATTATTCAAATTTTTCTTTTGTATGATATTTTTGGAAGCAAAAAGGAGTAGAACACAGCCCAATATTGCAACTATAACCTATGTAACGCAGCTATCTTTTCTTTTCCTTGCTCCTTTGCGATTCCTTTTAACACAATCAGCATCGTGTGGTAGCTTCTTTTTTTATTACGTAATGAAAAAGTAAAAAAAAGAGTGTGTGTGCTTATATATATATGACCACGCGATAGAAGTGACAACTTCAAATTTTGTAATGTTTTTTTTTTCGAAATATACAGTCCTATATGAGAATTAATTGTATTCTGAGAAGGAAACAATAGGTTTATGGTAGCTGAAATAGGTTATAAATATACTTAAGATTCAAATTTTTTTTTATTTAAATATCTAAAAAAAAACTTCGTCAAGCGTTGTTCCGTACTTTTTCGTGCTTTCATTTGGATCATTTGACATAATTAAATTGAATTTTGATTTTAAAAAATCAACTAAAGATTTTGATTTGTCTTTTGAAAAATCTTCAGTAAAATTCCCTCTTAAAATAATAGGCAATTTGTTCAGAAGAGTTGATCTGGCTTCAGTGTAGGCAACTAAATTTTTGTGAATGAATTCGATAATTTTCTCTACACTTTGATTTGGTGAAATATAAATAGTAACAATTAGAATTATTTGTCCATTTTCTGCTCTACGTTTTGTTGCACAAATTTTTCCAATAGATGACTCATTAAACCCAAATGATTCAGTAGTAGTATTACGGGTAGAGTTGTTACCATTGTTACGAGCGTTAAAACATTGTTACGAGCATTAATTTGTAATTTCTAATTCTGGATAGGCGTCAACCATTTCCGTAAGTTCATTCACGCATCCTTCAAGATGCGAAGGACATCTCTGAAGTAATGTTTGTTTTTTAAAGTAAGCCTAAACTACTTAAGATATCGTTCACATACGCCACGTAGATCTAGATAAGTTCCGTTATCGTGGCCCAAAGAATTTGCAGGTGTTTTCTATCCCCTTTCTAAAAATTTTCTAGATGTCTGCGTATAACGCTATCTTTTCAGCTCTAAATTTTAAAACTACCCTCAGCAATTCGAGTTTGAATTTCGACCGCGATATAACAAATCGATGAGGGACTACTAATTTCTTAATTTTGAGGAAGCGTCGAAGCAAATGAGAACCTTTGGGGATTCATGCTGCTCGTGTGTTTATTACTGGGATACATACGAAAGATAGATGAACTGAAACATATAACACAATCACAGAAGAATACAGATTTTATTGGAAACGAAGATCCCAACAAAGAACATAATAGGTACACGGCTTTTCTTTCGAGGCGGTAATCCATTTCAGGCGAAAGTCTGATTTCTTTTCCCGAAGGTACATCCATGCCTTACTCGGGATTTGAACCTGAAACCACTCAATTACAATTCGAGTGTCATAACCACCATACTAGTTGGGGCGGCATGGTGTGGCATGAATAAGTGAATATTAACATCGCCCTATTCAGCTACCGGAGGGCTTTTGGTGACAGACCCCGTAATTTTGAACCAGGGTCAAGTAACGAGGACTATATCTGAGCTGGCACTTACACCTACCCTATCTTAACTTCCACATCGCATCAACGGGAAGAATCATGGTGGGGCAGGAAATATTTAGGGCAAGTATCGTTAGGTTCACAATTTAAATATTCTACACCCCATCTTTAATTTGTAGTCGAATAATTTCTTTGTAATTTGAAAAAAAAATTTATCATGTGGCTTTGAGCACCATTCCACTGACATTACGATCTGGCTCGGCTCCACCCCAATTTTGAGGGAGAATCCCCTGGAGTGGGTCAGTTATTTCTCAACTCTCTTCCCCTTCTGCCAACCTTCCGAGAGGACTTGCGGTTCAATGGCTGTTTAAAGTCTCCGCATGCAGCAAAGGTACTATGCATTTGCAAACATCCATGCCTTCTCTGGAATTCGAAGCCATGCCTAAAGGCATAACAGTCAGCGTCACTAACCGCTTTATACCGGATGGGTGGAGTGTGTATTGTATTTTCTTCAAATTTTTCTAAAATGTGCATGTCTACATCCAAGTTTTCTAGCTGTTTAGTTCCTACATTTTCTGACTCCCAGAATTCAATTATTTTGTTATCCAAAATATCCACTGACTCAATGGAATTTTGTTGCAGAGTTTCGCATATTAATTTATAATAGAGAAAACTGATTTTACATTTACAAAGAGCGAATTTTTCCTTCAGTTCTTAGTTATATGATTGAAACGAAGGAATTAGTTTAATATCACGGGGGGCAAGGCGCCCAGCGCTGCTGGGCGCGATAAAGAAATTACGCAAAGCAGGTCTTGTTGTAGCTGGAATGGAATCCAAGATGGTGGCTAAGCGGTAATTTAATGATACATAACATTTTTAAAGAATTGTTTTGAAATACATTGAAATATATTTCAAATGAAGAATATAGGAAGAGATTGAGAAGAACCAAGAAGAATCAATAAATAATGATTATCAATATAACATAATAAAAAGTAACATGTACTCTAATATTAGTATTTTTTATGCAGTATATAATAATCATATAATATAACTTAAAAGTAATTATAAATAACTAACGTAATATGTAATATCTATAAATAAATATAAAAAACCCCAATTATAAAAAACGAATATTATAGGATTATTACATATAATAATAATTTTGTATTTATATATTATATTATTATTAAAATAATTACATAATACATAGTTAAATTAATAATGAATATCAGTTACAAAGTACTGAAAACTTGCTATATTCTAAAAAAGGCAAATTCCTTCTACGAATTTCATCGAACAAGGAACGTTTCAAAAAGCATTTTTAAAAGTGAAAATGAACGGCAATAATTAAAAGTACAACACTCATTCTTAAAAAAATATCCTAGTACTCACCCATGATATTAGAAATATCAATCTTCAAAAGTAGCACAAAATAAAACAGAAGAGTAAAATATTGGAACAATTACACTGAAAATGGATACATTTTTAAGGAAATCAAATTAAAATCTATGAAATATTAATAGGGTTACCGCGGGAAATACCAATAAACGTTAGTTCTAATATACGCTATCCCCATGGCAACCACATCGCCTGACGATAAAAATATCAAGGTAACCATATTGTAATGTTATCGCCAATCTTGGCGCACATAAACAAAAATTTGGATAGTGCCTGTGATATCAAACTAGTATCTAAACGAAAGGATGCGAAACTTCTTTTTGACAGCTGTATAACTTTTTTCCGATGTAACTGTAACAGTTACACATTTATACGTGGCAGCTAGAGATAAGCTCTACTAACCACTCAGCTTAAAGAAAAGTTTTCAGACAAATGAATTACATTAGATTTATATTTTACAACCAAAATCAGAATTAATTTCCATCTTGGAAGGATTCATCATCGCGTAAGATAAATTAATGTTGTTTTTCTATTCGGACAACTTATGGACTTCTCTCTCTATGTTTTGATTTTCACGATTATTTTCCCTTCGATCGGAATTTTAACTGCGCTGGATAGAAAACAATATCACTGTTTCTCTACTTTGAATTTCTTTTTTCAAAAACGAAATTAATTTTTTTACGTCAATTACGTCATCTTTACGTTGGCGGTTATATTAAGCATTAATTTCTCATAAGATTTTTTAAATATTACAGGGAACAAAAGATCGGAAAAATATTCAAAAAATTGAAATTTAACTTGAATTTCAATGTTATCATGCAATTTTCTTAACACAGTAAGATTCTTAACGGATTTTACTGGTACAAGTTGCAATAATTTATTTATATAAACGTTAATAGCCAATTCCTTTCTGCTGAATCTTTGTTGCAACAATTGAATTGAGGAACCTAGTTTTCGTTCGAAAGGTCAAATCCGGAAATTGCTGTTAAGCGAGTCCGCGTATATATATAAGTACGATTTTAAATAATTTAAAAATCGCATTAACGCAGTCCCACTTAAAGTAAATTTCTTCATTTTGCATTATGATTCTCTTCTATGTATTGCCACCTCAAATGAGTTGGAAAAATCAGTACTTCTCCGTTTCGCCGGCGCAAATCACACCAAGTTGGCGTTATTGGCTAAAACACTCAGTATGCACATAAAAATAGTAATAAATTTTAGTTCTCATTAGTTTTTCTCACATTTTTGATGTATCGTGAAAAAGGGAGTACTGATGAGAAAAGACAACGGCTTGCTTTGAAATTGTGGTGGTAAAAATTAATTCCGGAAGTTCCGCCGGAATATTCCGTTTGACGTCGGTTGTATCATTTTTGGGACCTTAACCGCTTGCACCAGCGAAACGGCTAAGTACGTAAAAATCTAACCATTCACTGCAATCACCACTAAACGTAGATATATTAATTTCGTTCAACTTTGTATTATTTTTACTATTAACGGGCATGACACTTGTTTCGGTTGACCTAGAAGACTGGTTATTATCTTATTTTGGAAAATGTTTGAAGTCCCTTCTAACAAAGCAATACCGGTCCAGTTCACACTTAACAACGTTTCTCAATTCCCAAAATGTTTCGCCCTCCGTAACCTCCTTTTCTATGTCACCAGTATCAATAATTTTTTCGATGTCTTGGTCTGATTTCTTTATTTTTTTTCGATTATATAACTGACATCTCAGACTCTTCCCAACCTTTTTATTGCCGCGTACCGGTCAACGTTTGCTAATTTTACCGTGACCCATTAAGTGGGGACGTTAATTCCTTATATTTTTACATTGTTTTGATTTAATAATTTTAATTTAATTGTATTTGAATATGCATTCAGAATAAAATACAATTGCACCAGAAATAAATGAATATACAGTGATTTAAAATGGAATATATACTGATTTCCATAAAAGTGGGGAAAGAGATATACAACTGTAAATAAAATACAAATAATTTAATATTCCTCGTGCGGCTTGGTAGTATTTGATCCACGGACTTGTATCAGCCCATGGACCAGCGGTTGGGGACCACTGTCTTAGACTATATAGGTTATTATGCTTAACTTCTTTATTTCAGTTTCCGCTTAACGGAGCTAGAGTTTCAAAATTGGCATTAATATTAATTTACTAAAAAAGGATGTGACGGTGGTACGTTTGCTTTTAGTCACCTTATACCGTCATGTTGTAATGCCTGGTATAGTGTACCGGAAAAAATCGATTTACGTCAAGGTGGTATAATATCAAATGGTTTTTTATTGGAGAAGACACATCGCGAAACGTGTATTGGAACATAAATGGACGGAAAAACAAACAAACACTCAGATAAAAAGAACGCTTGTATCCTGTTATGCTTTCGATTTACATCTGAAAGGGAGAATCTGGTTATCCTATTAATTTCCCCGGAAATTGTAAAACTCGAACACGGGCTGTTGAACAAAAGATGAGGCAATGCAGAGTAGAATGACAGAATATAAAACACAAATATAGTTTTCAAAGAAGTATAAATACCCATGTCCTTAACTTGAGCGAAAAAATGCTTAGTTGCAAACATCTTTCGGTAAGGCTTGTGATCACCTATGCTGGAGATGCAGACTCAACAACGTTTATTCATAACTGCAAGGAGGTTGTAAATCATACATTATGTAATCTGAGCCCATTCTCGAAGTATGCTTGCTGTAGGCTTGGAAAGACGTCATGGCTTAGGAAAAATTGCACAGAGCAGAAAGAAGTCTCACGAGCATTTCCTAGACTTGCTCTATTGGGTTCAAGTCATACAAACGGACTGGCCATTCCATACACTGGCTATTTGTACATTTGCGTTAAAGTTCATAAATATGGCTTCATAATCTATGGCTGCCAGATATGAACGAATGCATGGGTCGAGATTTACATTTCAATAAATAACTACTAGGGCTGAACCGGGACGAAAGAAGTAGATATCTGTTAGACCACCTATTAATGTCCTCACTCCCTATAACACCAGCAAGACTGTTGCTGTGTCTTTCCTGGATTTTTTGAATTTGAGACCAGCTTCTGGGATACTCCAAATACGTATCCTTTGTGAATCTTTGTTGATACAGAATCGGAACTCATCGTTGAACCATACATTGGCCCATTACTGTGGAACTAAGTTAGTGTGATCTAGAGCTCACTGCAGCCGAGCTTTTTTGTAAGACGAAGTCTGTGGCACCCAAACAGATAATCGTCTTGAATAGAGATAACTTTCATATAGAGCAGGGGTAATCAACCTTTTTTTCTGCTGGGCCGCATACGTATGTCAGCTATTTTACGCGGGCCGCAGCATGAGGATAAATGGATTAGGGGAGAGAAAAGCTTTATAACCAAAATAACATTGAAATTTAAAATGTGGAAATTGATTAAAATATTATAACTCCTGCTTTTTTTTTTATTGTTTTTATATTTTCTTATTTTGTCACTAAGTCTAAATTAGAAGCATTTAAGAAACACTCCTTCACAATTTCTACATC